CAGGCAGTGGCACAGCCTGAGTTAAAAGAGCTGACGCGACGAAGCACAGCATTATGGTCACGGCATGTGTACAGCCCTGTCAGGCTACAATGTTAGAATTCCAGGGGGTGGTAAAACTATGGCTCAGCCTCCAGTGTGAAACAGCTCTAAAAGGTAGAAAAGATTGGACATGTCATCATTTTAAAAGCATACAGCAATGTATACAAAGAAGCAAAATCTCCTGCGCTCAAGCGGAGTGTACTGGCAAAAGTCAATGCATAATCTTTGGTTGGTCCATTAATTACACTGACTGTGCTGCCCCCTATGGGCCAGGGAAACCCAGAAGAAATACTGCAAGAACAAGGCTCTGAAGAAGAGGGGATTCCCTCCTTGAAACGCATCAGCCTTTTGGAAGGTCTTCTCGTGCTGGGGAATCTAGGTGACCAGGTCGCTTCGAGTACATTGTGGACATTTATTTTAGTTATTATTTTGACACGTATTTACAGCAGCACTAGGATGTAATTATTTATATTTAGTCATTTTAAGTGAAGCACGGCACAATTTTGTTATTTAGTACATTGTGGACTTTGATGTGCCTTATTGTTGATGTTGTTTGTGAGTATACATCTGTCTTATTATAGAGAATGCTACCGCAAAGGTAATGTACTAGGTTGGTGCGCCCTGATCCTTGTTCTTGCAATAATGCAATGCATCGCTGAGATAGAATTCTCTTCCTATCTTTGTTATGAGGAACCCTGACTTATGCATTTTTGGGTGTTGGAACCCATGAATTAAAATGCAACAGTGTGGCTGGGCCCTTGAGGAATGTTCACGTTTCTAGTCTCAGACCAATCTTTTTGGGTAAAGGATATGTAAACCCTAACAATGAACTTCTTGTATTGTCTCCCTGTTGGTCTGTTAAAGCGGTATTAAACCTAAAACCAAAAATGTAGCTTATTGCAGCCTACCAATTTATTTATTTCAGGTACTTATATATCGCCATCAATTTGCGCAGCGCTTTTTACACACATACACACACATATATATATATATATATATATATCTTACATTCACATCAGTCCCTAACCCTCAAGGGGTGTACAATGTAAGGTCCCTAACTTACATTCATACATACACATACTAGGGACAATTTAGACAGGATCCAATTAACCTACCAGCATGTCTTTGGAGTGTGGGAGGAAACCGGAGTACCCGGAGGAAATCCACGCAGGCACAGGGAGAACATACAAACTCCAGGCAGGAGGTGCCGTGGTTGGGACTCGAACACCAATGACCCTAGTACTGCCAGGCAGAAGTGCTAACCATTTAGCTACTGTGCTGCCCATTACATATGGCGATTTCTTCCATTTGTTTTTTGGCTTTTTCCCCCCTCTGTTATAACCTAGTGGTCTGCCCAGTAACACACCGCCTGTATTCCTGTATTAGTGCCCCACAGGGGGCACAGCAGACAGCAGCATTGTTAATTTGGGGGAAGGAAAGTGTTAGAAGCGCTTGCAGATTTAAATACTCTAACAAATTGAAGGCAAACTTCAGCTCGCACTGCAGTTAAAGCATCATTTTTTTTTCTTTTGGGTAAACGTTTTACATAAATAAAAGCTGATCATCATAAGCACTCCTGTCAGTGGTAAATGGTTTGTCTAAATGCTCTTAATTGATACATTTGCAGGAGAGCCTGTTCTGTTTAAAAACACCAGACTTACTGGCAAGATCACCAGATGACAATAAAGAAAACAGCCTAAAAAAAGAAAACGAATGCAGCCTATAAGAATTGGTAAGCTGCAATATAATAGATGTTTGCTTTTTCGTTTGATACTGCTTTAAATGTACCATTTAGATGCATTTGTTCTATCTGTTCAAAAAAATAACAGTTGATCTTACAAAATTTAAGAGCAGCCCTGTGTCCTAGTTCTTATCTTGGACTAAAAGATTAGCCTTCTGTTTTAGAGATCTGAGAGTGGGAGAGGTTGACTAGTTTAGCGAAACACTGATACCACTGGGGAAGGAGAGGGATTTACTAACATTGGAGCAGACAGAATTTGGAGCAGCTGTGCATAGTAACCAATACACTTTTATTTACAGTTCATTCACCTTTGAAAGCTACAATCTGATTGGTTGCTTCATACTCTGTGTGCCCCAGTCTTGTTCTACTTTAAGCTCTTTTGTTGTCAGCCTACAATAGAGCTTAAAGCAGAAAGTCACCCAAAAGGGTGAAGATCCCCCCCCTCTATATTTATAAAAAAAAAATTTTGTGGGTGGGGGGTTGTTGTAGGCAGGGGCAGACTGACAACTCATGGGGCCCCCGGGCAATAGGGGATCATGGGGCCCCTGTGTCCTTGCCCAAACTCAAAAAAGCCTTTGAAAAAGGTACCAGGGGCATCTCATGGGACCCCCTACTGACCCCGGGCCCTCGGGCAGTGCCCGTGTTTCCAAATGGTCAGTCCGCCCCTGGTTACAGGTACCTAGTCGTGACAGCTACCCACTTCCACAAAGCAATCTGAGCAGAAGTTCAACTCCCCCTGGCCCCCCCTCCCTTCCCACAGCTTTCAGGGGCACACCACCAGTCCAAGAAGGCTGTGGTGCCTTGCACAAACCATAATGGGGCTTATTTACTAAAATTGGACAGTGCAAAATCTGGCTCACTTCTGCATAGAAACCAATCAGCTTCCAGATTTTATTGCCAAACCTTAATTGAAAAAGCTGAGGTTGAAAGCTGATTGGCTACCATGCACAGCTGCCAGATTTTGAGTGGACCAGCTTTAGTAAATCTCCAGTGTGTCTCGTGCATCCACAGTGAGCGGGCAACCGGATGTGAAGCCACAGGAGTCACAGCTGGCTGCCCACAGTTTACATGCCAGGGCCGGGGACCCAAAGATTGGTGAAGAACTGGCTCGGGTGAGGATGGTGCTGGATCCCCTGACGGGCGGATGTTTATTAAAAGTCAGCAGCTGCAGTTTTTAATTTTTTCAACTGACTAAAGAACTGCTTTAAGTGCTGAGTACATTCTTGTCAGATCAGGAATACAGTGACAGGCAGGTTTACAGCATTGACCAGTTGCGATACCTCCTTGGTTTGCTGCCGGAGCAAGGTTGTAGCTGAGCTCCTGCTGCCTTATGGACTATCCAGCTCCGTATATACCCTCTCAAGCAACCTTTTCATAAAGGAACCCAGCAGGAGCAAATTGGATCATGCTTTGCTAGGGGTTTGTTTTTTTTTTGCCTTCCTCTGAATCAACTGTGGGTATAGGATTATAACTTTTTTTTTTTTTTTTTTCTTTCTTTTCTATGGTTGAACTGGATGGACTTTTATCTTTTTTTTTCAGCCAGACTATCTATGTAACCCATGCAAATAATTCATTATATCAATAGCTCATGGTGCTAATGGTCAGTGAAAAGAATGCTTGTGACATTGGGGATCAGTGGGAAGAATTCCCCTGCCTTATAGATGGTCACTAAAAAGATAATTGGTGCCAGTAGTTACTTTACTGAGCGGCAGAAATTGCGCAAGGAACCCCTAGCAACCTCTCGAGGAACTCTAGTGGTGAAAGGCTGCTCTTAAAGAGGTAGTAAACTGCAGGAAAGCAAAAAAAAAAAATTTAAAAGTTCCCTGTAAGGTAATGTTAATGCATCGCACGCTATGTAAAACTTGCCTGAAAACGAAGCCCTCCAGCGGCACGCTGTCACCTTTGCAGAGGCCTCCATTTTCACCCGTCTTCATTCCGGGTTCTTGAGCTTCAGCCGTCTGACAGGGCCGGGCCGCGATGACACATGCTTGGGAGTCCCGGGCCATGGCATGCAGCTCTGAAGGAACAGCACGGGTATGCCATTCCTTTAGAGCACATGCACCGGCTTAAATAAAAGAGAGAATATCTCCCAAATGCTTACCTGTAGGTAAAATAACAAAAAACTAGTGCTGTGTACTCGAATAACAAATGGAATAAATGATACTTTGCATACAGTAGTTTTATCAAAAACGCCAATAAACAATTTTTATTATGTGCTTTTTTTTTTTTTTTCTTTTTTAAGTTGTGATTGGACCACATGTACATGACATCACATCACCTCAGCAAGGTGATCTGGAACCACTAAAAATTCCCACCTCCCCCTTTTAACCTTCTTTACTCCCAACCCGTGTGGCATGTCAATCATTTACAATGTCTGGACCATCTGATTGTGACGTGTCTGCTTGAGTGCCCTATTATCGCAATGTATATATTATTATTTCCTCCCATAGCATCTCTGGTGGAGCCTGAGTCGGTCGTAGGTTCATGGGACCTACTTGAAGGCACGGCAGGGCAGGAGGTCTGTATGCTTTTAATGTCATCAAGTCCCTGCTGAGTGCCGTGGCACTGCACTCGGGGTGAAATCTAGAACTGAAATGGAATTGGGAATTAATTATGGATGTGTAATTTTTGCTGTTTTTGTGGATTGTATTAAAACACGTAAAAATTGGTTACCTGTTATTATACGTATATAGATTTATATAGGTGTGTGGTGTGTGTGTGTGTTTGTGTATGTATGTATGTATGTGTATATAAAATTCCCCAAACACTGCGGACCGCTCCATACTCATTAACGTCTCTGTACAAGGAGCTTCTTTAGAAGTTACGGACTGGAATCTTCTCGAAAATTCTGGAACTCTGACATCTGCATCTAACTGATGTCCTTATCCCTTCAACTTCTCTTGTAGCCCATCATCTATAGTCCAAACACCAAAAGTGATGGTTTGTTCCATTTGGTGAACAACATGTCCCCGTTTCGCACTGTCCCACAGTCCCCTTTTTGCTAACATGAGGTTCAAACTTCAGCAACTTATCACAAGCAAACCACACGGTCAGACCAAACACAAGTTGAACAGGACAACTTCCTCAGCAGGATACAGGTCCCTCAGTCTGATAGTGTGTGTCCTTTTTTTTTTTTTCTTAGTTTTTAAGGTTTCTTTGGGGGGGGGGGGGGGGGGGGGGGGGGGGGACGACTGGTCACGTCTGCTCCCGCTGTTCTCGGTCACACTGCTCCGTTCTCTTGCCGTGGCTTGTGGACGGCAGACTGGGAAGCACTGAGGGATGGTGCCAAAGTGCAGAGGAATCCGGAGAGGAGGGTGAGTCCCAGCCCACCCCAGGCACAGAACATGGACCAGCCATACCCGTGGCTGATGTCTTCGGGTAAACCGTATACCGAGCGTGGGTATCGCGACAGCTCGAAATTGATGCCAGCTACACAGGTGCAGAGGGAGATAATGCAGCAAGTTCCTGAAAAGAGAGAACGGAAAGGCATGATATTTCTTTTTTTTTTTTTTTTAAACTATAATTGTAATGCAAGGTGATTTTTTTTTTTTATGTAATCTGAATTTTGATTGGTTGCTATGGTAACTGTATGTAGCACATCATTGCATCCCTTAGCACTGCCATATGTTTAAAGGCTTTAAAGATGAAATCTTGGCACAGGAAAAACATGCTGCCTGCAATGATGGTTTGCTTGCATATATGGAATAGATAGTATTTACTTGGCTGAACTATGTGCCAAGATATCCCAGTACTTTTATTTACTATGGAAACCTCCATCCACACTAAACAGTATGGATGGATAAACCTCCCCACGCTGGCTACTGTATTCTGAGTCAGCACCTGCAGCAGTCAAAATACCCAACAAGAGACTGCAGCTGATTGGTAACAGTCACTGTTGCACCAACATTTTTCCCAGCGACTCCTTTTAATCCTCAATGGAAATTTGTTGAACTGGGTGGTGGCAGCAGGGTTGTATATGGACAGCTTAAAGGATAATTTCTCCTTTTGAAAAAAAATTAAAAAAAATAAATGCAAATTTTTCTGCATGTAAAAAAATGTACATTTATTATTTTATTTTTAAGGAGCCTGTGGAGCATTGAACCCATGATCAGCAGATCGCGAGTGCAATGTCAGGCTCCTGCAGACTCTCAGGACAGCCTGAGATAATTTCTCCTTTTGAAAAAAAAAAAATAAATAAATGCAAATTTTTCTGCATGTAAAAAAATGTACATTTACCGTATTATTTTATTTTTAAGGAGCCTGTGGAGCATTGCACCCATGATCAGCAGATCGTGAGTGCAATGTCAGACTCCTGCAGACTCTCAGGACAGCCGCCTGCCTGTACCTCATATGCAGCAGACAGTTACTTGAGAGCTGGAAGATCAGCTATCTAAAAGAGCGCTCACCAGCGCCTTTGTAGTTCATTGAGAAATACAAGCCGTCTGCTGCAATGGCTGAAAGTACTTGTAGTCTATTCATTCACAGGAATCTGGAAGAATGATGCGGCCATGTGGGCGAAGTCCTCTACGGCCACATTATTTCCAAATTGCGACAGCAGGTGCGGGGAGAAGATCCCCCGGGGCCCATTGTCATGGGGAGAGGGGGTGCATGTTGAACATGTTACACCTTTAATACGGGTGTAACATTTTGGAAAGGTGAACCTATCCTTTAAGGTTAGAGCTATACGGAAGATCTTTAGTAGCTCAAGCACACCTTTAAAATTGCTAGACATAGATCACTACACAGCAGGAATGAATGGCCCTCTATAGAGCAAACATGTAATAACATTGAGTGGCGATCAGTCAAACACAACTGGAGCATTGTGCGATCATGCGAGAGTCATCACTGCTACATAATAATTTTGTAGTTTACTCTTTAGGGAGCTATTTGTTCGATCTGTGAAGCTACTGTTCGCTACTCTTACAAATGATTCGCTAGTGATTTAGTTAGCAAGACTGAGCTACTGAAAATACTCCTGTTTAGCTCGGGCATAACAGTCCATTTTTTTTGCATGTGCCATTGCTGGTTGACCACTTTTGAGGTTCCCTTTTCCTGCACCCTGCTAGTCTAGTCTCCAACACACACCCTTTAAAGATGAGGCTTGGTTCAAAAGCATTTTTTTTGTCCTCCACAGCTTTAGCTACTTCATTACAAGTAATGTATGTCCCACGATGTGCAGGCTGCTGAATTCTTCACTGCAGGGCTGCCCTGTCCTCTTCTTGCTGCTGAACTTTCAGTGCTGTGGAGGTTAAGAGTGTTGGGTCTTTGGACCTAGCTGTACCAAAGATGAACTGACAGGAAGGAGGTGGGGGTGTTCCAGCTGGATCATCTTCGGTGCAGCTAAGCCCAGAGACCAGAAGCTGTTAACCCCCCCCCCCCAGTGTCGGAAGTTCAGCAGGAAGAGGACAGGGCAGCCCGACACTTAGGAATTCTACAGACTTCAGCAGCCTGCACATCATGGGACACACTTCATTACAGGTAAGTAATGCAGCTAAAGCTGTATATATAAAGCGTGTTTTTAGTTTTTTTTAAACTAAACTTCACTTTTAATTACTTATGAGAAATAAGGGTGCAATCCTAAAGCCAATTCCAGTCTCTATGAACACTATATTTACCACATCCTGCATGTACCACTGGTGCAGTGTATTCTGGAAGTTGTAGTATGATGGCAGGTGGTGATGGAGCTGTCAGTCTGTACAAAACTCCAGCTGATGAACTAAGAGATTAAGGAAGGCCGTTTATAAACAAGTGGCAGTTAGAATTCTAAATAAATTCATCATTAACATCACTTAGACTAATTGATGTCAGATACACTGTCTGCCCAGACCTGAGCTTTAAAGTATATCTAAGCCCAAACCTTTTTTTTTTCTTACTGTTAAATGAGTGATGAGGGGTCAGACCAGCCATTCTCAGTCAGGGTTGTGTGGAACAGTAGGGGTCCTTGAGCTGTGACTGGCTGACCTCCCATTTAAGGGTGCCTGTATAGTTCCTGACCAATGCCACTTGGCAGAGCCAGTGCCATGACACCAGTGATCTACAGTATTCAGCTGCTGTAAGTGTGGCATTTAGACCTCGTGCACACTCAGGGTGTTTAGCTCCTGAGTCTCAGATTCCAGTGAGAAATCTGTGTTCCGAGCAATTGCCCTGGCCACATATGGCCCTACGTTAGTACCACTCAGAACAGCACCCAACTGCTGCATTTCAGAATCTCAGACTTTTACAGGATTCTGTGCCTGAAGTCCAGAACGTATGGGATCTCAGACAATGATTGTTGATGGTACTGACTTGTATTGTGTAGGGTGGACTTCATCTCTTCTTCCCCGAAGGAAGATAGAGCCGCAGAAATTCGCTGAAATCCTATACATTTACTTCAGCTCATTATCCCCTCCATTTGTTATCAGTATCCTTTATTGATTTGACTTATGTGGACCCGTTGTTCGATTTTCACAGCACAAATTGATAGTAAAAATGATTAAATCATGTTATTATTTTAAGTTCTAAGGACCTTTGCTTGCCATGAATGTAAAAGGGCTACTCTCACGTGATACTGGGAAGCATAAAATACATGTTGGTGTAAAAAACCCACATTGTTTTTGTACATTAGAGATTGAAGAAAGTCTAGTTTTCAGCCATACAGATCAGTTTGATAGATGTGCAGCGAGGGGGAGAAAAGAAAAAAGTATGCAGCTCTATAAGCGGAAAACAAAGGCCTGAATAATACAAATATGGCTGCTCTGTGATATATACTGTTATGTACATAGTGACACAGGTCCACTGGTGTGGAAGAGGCTTTAATGCCACTAAAGACATCTCAGTGTAAAATGGCTGTTAGCAAGCCATAAGCCAGGCCCCACTAACACTGGGAAACTGTGAAACCAAATCACAAATTGGAGTGGCAAACAGGACAAGGGGTTCTGATTAATACATGTAATAGCACGCAGATCTTTTAAAAGTGTAAAATTTAGTAGAGGTACACTTTAATTATTAGTACACAGTGGTTTGATTATGTACATCAAAAAAAAATCTTTCACTGATCTTAAAAAAAAAAAATAAAAATGAAGAAAAAATAGATTACTTAAAGGGATTATATGCGTACCCTCCTGCTAAACTGCTGGTAAGATAGGTGTTGGGCGAAGCGGCTCTTCCCAGTCACTGGATTTGTCTTTTTATTAAAGACAAACAGCTGACTGCTCAGATAAAATACAGGTAAGTGAAATGTTTTATCTGCTAAAGAATTTGCATACTTCCACAACCTGTCCAGATTCCTGTAGACTTTTCACATATTTCAGGTCATACCCCGGGGCCCCCCTGTTTCCCCCACTTTGTCCTATTAATTCCAGAATTGACCTGATTCGTAGCGCTGTTCTCTGACCTCTAAATTGCCACCAATCACTATCCAGGTCTCACTGATTATAGTGAAAACATGACAATTATTAAATATAAAATATAATATATAAAAAGTGTATGTACACTTTTTATATATTACTTTTTATATTTAATAATGGTCATGTTTTCACCAATCAATCTATTACTAGCTACTGTTCAAACATGCGCACAAAATGTCATCTTCTTTATAGCATGTTTTTATGTGTATTCACATATCTACAGTGAATTTCTGTATATACAGTGGGGCAAAAAAATATTTAGCCACCAATTGTGCAAGTTCTCCCACTTAAAAAGATGAGAGAGGCCTGTAATTGGCATCATAGGTAGACCTCAACTATGAGAGACAAAATGAGAAAAAAAATCCAGAAAGAATTTATTTTGCAAATTATGGTTGAAAATAAGTATTTGGTCAATATCAAAAGTTCATCTCAATACTTTGTTATATATCCTTTGTTGGCAATGACAGAGGTCAAACGTTTCCTGTAAGTCTTCACAAGGTTGGCACACACTTTTGCTGGTATGTTGGCCCATCCTCCATGCAGATCTCCTCTAGAGCAGTGATGTTTTGGGGCTGTCGCTGGGCAACACGGACTTTCAACTCCCTCCAAAGGTTTTCTATTGGGTTGAGATCTGGAGACTGGCTAGGCTACTCCAGGACCTTGAAATGCTTCTTACGAAGCCTCTCCTTCGTTGCCCGGGCGGTATGTTTGGAATCATTGGCATGTTGGAAGACCCAGCCACGTTTCATCTTCAATGCCCTTGCTGATGGAAGGAGGTTTGCACTCAAAAATCTCACGATACATGGCCCCATTCATTCTGTCCTGTACATGGATTAGTCGTCCCGGTCCCTTTGTGGAGAAACGGCCCCAAAGCATGATGTTGCCACCCCCATGCTTCACAGTAGGTATGGTGTTTTTGGATGCAACTCAGCATTCTCTCTCCTCCAAACACGACGAGTTGTGTTTCTACCAAACAGTTCTATTTTGGTTTCATCTGACCATATGACATTCTCCCAATCCTCTTCTGGATCATCCAAATGCTCTCTAGCAAACTTCAGACGGGCCCGGACATGTACTGGC